GGATTATAGCACCCTACCTAGGATACAGTAGTGATCAATAAAGATTTGTTGAGTGAATAAATGACAGAATGACAGTGAATGGGACGGTCACTCAACCTTTGATACTTTTATTTTTCTGGTACTGGGAATTGAACACCGGGCTCACCCTTCATGTGCTCTTTCCACTGAAGTGCACCCCAGCCCTGACCTTTGACACTTCTGATGATGGGAGACAGGCAGCCCCCAGAACCTCACAGTGGGGTTTTAACTCATGGCTGCCGGCTACGGTTTGGATCTGGAACATCCTCCAAAAGCTCACATGGTTCTCTGTGCAAGAGAGTTCAAAGATGGGCTTTGGGAAGTGGTGGGATCATGAGGGCTCTGACCTCTGAACCCCTGGTGGGTTCAGAGCAGCTGATGGCATTATTGAGAACGGGGCCTAGTTGGAGGAAGTGGGGCACCAGGGACGTGCCCTGGAAGAGGTTTTCTTGTCCCTGGATCCTTTCACTCTCTCACTCTACTTCCCAACCACCCTGTGTTGAGCGGCTTCCTCCACCACACACTCTCTCCACGATGCTGTGTCTTGCCATAGACCCCAAAGCCATGGAGCCAGCAGGCCATGAGCTGAAAATGTGAGCCCAAATAAGTCTTTCCTTCTCTAAACTGATTATCCCAGATATTTTGTCACAGGAATGAAAAGCTGACTGACGCAAGTGCCTAGATGGACCATCCCATGAGGAATGGCCACAGTTCTTGACTGGACGTATAGAGGATGAGTCTTTAGTCATGTCCTGGGGGATAACTCTGGGCACTGTGTGGTTAGGAAAGCTCTCACTGTAACTCAGCTAACCTGGGCGGAGCACGGGGCGTGTGAGATGAGAGGGAGCCCCTGCAGCAAGAGGGGGGTGTGTTCCCTCCACAGTGCACAGGTGTACCAAGCACTGCAGGACACGTGGCCTGGTGCTCATGGCCGTGGCCGCTTCATGGGGAAATTCTTATTTGACAAACCCTTGTTGGGCACCTACCATGTGCCAAGCACTGTTATAGGGCTGAGGGTAGAACACAGAGCAAAGCAGAGTCCTGGCCCTCCTGGAGCTTCCGTTCTAGTAGGGAGCACAGAGTAAACTCAAGACAAATGAGTAAAGTCTACGCTGCGTCAGCAGGGATGAGTGCTGGGAAAAAACCAAACTAGTGCATTCGTTTCCTGTTGCTGCTACAGCAAATCGGCACAGCTTATGTGGTTTAAACCATGCAAGCACGTTTTCTAACTGTCCTGAAGGGCAGAAGTCCCCAAAGGGTCCACAGGGCTGTGCTCTTTCTGGAACCTCTGGGAAAGAATTTGTCCTCTTACCTTTCCTGCTAGAGGGCACCTTCCCTTCTTCCTCCATCTTCGAGGCCTGCAGAGCAGCCTCCTCCAGTCTCTCTCCACCCCGTCCCTTGCGTCTGTCTTCACGTCTCCTTCCCTGACGCTGGCCTCTTACAAGGACCCTTGTGGAGATGTCAGGTCCACCTGGGTGATCCTGGATAATCTCTCCCACTCAAGAGCCTTAACTTAAGCACAGCTGCGGAGCCCCTATTTCATTGCAGGTAACACATTTGTGGTTTTCAAGGATTAAGATATGGGACCATTAGGGACCATGATTCCTTCCACCACAGCAAGGAGGCTGTCTTAGAAAAGGTGTCAGAGAGGGTCTTGCGAAGAGTGTGGGGTAGGCACAAGAAGGAAGTGACGGGGCTGGCGAAGCTGCTGGGAGAGCACTCCTGACAGGGATTGGCGATGACGAACCTGAGATGGCAGGGTGCCTGGTGTGCAAGAGGGTCAGTGTGGCTGTAGAGGAGAGGACAGGGAGCCATCAGAGATGCTCTGGCCATGCAGGCACTGTCATGGGCTGAATTGCACCCCCTGAAATTCATTTGCAGAAGTCCTGACCTCTGAGAACTCAGAATGTGACTGTATTTGGAGACAGGGTCTTTAAAGAGGGGATTAAATTAAAATGAGGTCAATATGACCAGTGTCCCTGTAAGGAGAGGATACTAGGACACAGACATGCACAGAGGGAAACCTCCATGAGGCTGCAGTGAGAAGATGCCATCTACAGCCAAGGAGAGAGTCCTCAGGAGAAGCCAACCCTGCCAACACCTTGATCGTGAGGTTCCAGCCTCCAGAACTGTGAGAGAATGCATTTCTGTTAAGTGGAACAGTCTGTAGCACTGTGTTGCAGTGGTCTGAGCAGACCACACAGGTACCAGGGTGCTGTGGGCCACCATCCTTCATTGGTGTCTTGTACTTTTGCACATCTGTGAGCAAAGCCAGTGGCCACCTTTCTCTGGACTGTCCCCCCAAGGATGCTGCAAAGCAGACAGCTTTGGGAGACAGAGTGTTCCCTATCATGTCAAGGGCAGATGGGCCTCTTGAAGATAGTCTCTCCCTCAGGAGTGAAGGGCAAACATGCTGAGTACTCCTATGGAAGATGTGTCCACTCTAAGCCCAGGGTTCCTCTTCCATCGGGCAATTGACTACGAGTACAGGCTCCACAGGGTCCCTTAATCACCCTGTAAGACCCAGAACTCAGTAATCTGGCACACAAAAATGCTAATACTATGACTGTTGCTACTGTTATAAATAATAAAGTCCTTTGGTTCCAACCTGAGAGTCTTTTGCCTTCTGTCAGCATCTTTGAAATTGTGGCAGGCCACCTTGTTAGCTTACAAGGCAGGGGAAAGCTGAGACCCTGCCCAGATCTTGATACGTGCCCAAGCCTAGAGGGCTTTGGAGGCCTGATGGAAAGAGGGTCATTGGAGGGTTTTGAGCAGAGGCATGATGGGCCCTCACTTGGGTTTTGTGAGGTTCACCAACGCTATCTTCTTTCTTGAGAACAGATGGGGAGAGGTAAGAATCAGGGAAAACAATTGCTAGATCAATTACCTAGCAATAACCTAGGGGTTGGATAGACCATGGCCTTAGCAGGGTGTTGGAAGGTGGAACTGACACTTTGGGATATGTGAGAACAAGAGGCAAAAAAGGTGGCTGCAGATCCTTCACCTGGCAATGCAGGCCTGAAGTGCCCCTGACTCAGATGAAGGTTTTCCAAAGGAGCAGGGGAGGGGAGGCAGGAGTTCACCTTGAGATGAGCTGGATTAGATCTGCCAGTTGGGCATCCAAGAGAAGATGAGGAGGTAGGTAGATATGGATTTATTTGGGGGCAAGGTCTTGGACTGAGGTAAAAATCTGAGGTTCATTAGTGTGACATTAGAGCCATAAGATAGGGGAGATCACATAAATAGAAAGGAGTCCCAGTGCCCTCCATATTTAGAGGTCAGAGAAGTAAAAATAGACCACAAAAAGGACTGAGAAGCCAGAAATGCAGTAGGAAGCCTGGTGAGAGACTACTCCAGCCACCTGGAGGTGGGGAGCCATGGATCATGGCTAATAGTAAAACAAAGCCACTGGCCTCCTCGGTTAAATCAGAGGCATATCACAGAGGGATCCATGGGCTCTGCTGAAGGGCGGGGGCAAGGAAGGCATGGGTGCAGTCCCAGAGTGCTAAAAAGAGTCAGCACATCTGTCTGGGACATCATGGAACCCAGGGAGATTAACCTGAGTCTGGATATGAGTGTGCTCAGCCCACTGTCAGCAGGCACAGGAGGCTTTACACAGGGTGGGGCCCCGACAAGGGGTTTCAGAAAGACCACGGATGGCTGGGGCAGAACTCAGCCGGGGTGCCCAGCCTAGGGGCCTGCGGTCCTAGTACTTCCGCAAAACTGCAACTCCCATTCGCTTTTAGCCTGCGGGACTATCCCTCTGCACGTTGGGGCTGCTACTGCAATGCGGTCCAGCTCCGCAGGTCCCGGGGCTGCGCTTACTTGGGATTGAGGTGGGGTAAACCGGTAAGGACTGGGGAGCCCCGCCGAGCAGGCGGCACGCAGGAGGCTGCCGATGGAGACACAGAGCACAATTAAAATGCTTTTTTAGTGGAAGAGGATGCCTAGGAAACCTCCGTGGTATTTCGTCTCATCTCACACCCCTGCTTAAACTTAAGTTCACTCGTGGAGTGTAGACCCACACGCCGAATGGGATCAGGGTTTTTTTCGCCTTTGGGGAGAGAATTCGCTTAAGAGGAAGCACTCGTGAGGTGTTCAGAAAAGGAGGTAGAAAGTTAAACAGAAGAGGGGACTGCCAACCAAGGGACGTCCTGGGACACGGCGACTCCCAGAGGCTCCTTGGGCCAGTCGCTTGGAAACAAACAAAAGCGCGGGCGGGCTCTCTTAGTTCCTCCAGCACCGGCAGCTCGGGCCAGCCGAGAGGGCCGGGTCAGCAGCGGGCCGCGCAGGTCCAGGGGACCGGAGGATTCCGCGCCACCGCGCGCCTGCCCGCCCGCGCGCGAGGCCGCGATCGCGGAGCGCACCCCCTGTGCGCGGTCCCGGGGGAGGTGTGGGGGGCGCCAACACCGTGCGGACTACAAGTCCCAGGAAGCCCAGAGGCAGCGCAGGGCGGGGCCTGGCGCAATTCCCGGGGATCC